ATGCCAAAAGAAGTAAATGCTTATTTGGACAACAACAAGTGGAGTATTTGGGGCACATGATTTCAGCAAAAGCAGTGGCAACTGACCCTGCTAAGATTAAGGCCATGCAACGGTGGCATTTGCCTAAGAATTTGAAATCCTTAAAGGGTTTCTTGGGTTTGATAGGATACTACAAGAAATTATCAAGGGTTATGGAGAATTGAGCAAGCCTTTGACAAATATGCTCAAAAAGAAAGAATTTCATTGGTCCCCGGAAGCCAGGGAAGCCAGGGAAGCTTTTGAATAATTAAAAAATGTTATGGGCAAGGCTCCAGTTTTGGCTTTACAATTTTGAGCAGATTTTTTTTTTTTTGGAAACATATGCTAGTTCTAGAGGCATTGGGGCAGTTCTCTCTCAAGAAAGAAGACCCATAGCCTATCTCAGCAAGGCTCTTGGCCCAAAACATTTAGATCTTTCAATTTATGAGAAGTAATATTTGGCCATTTTAATGGTAGTCTCTCACTGGCGACACTATTTGGAGAGTGATCCTTTCGTAATTAAGATAGATCATGAGCCTTTAAAACACCTCCTTGAGCTGAAGTTAACTACAAATATACAAAAGAATGGACTTACTAAGTTACTGGGGCTTGATTATACAATTTAATACAGGAAGGGCAAGACTAATAAAGTGGCAGATGCATTCTCTAGCAGCAAGGGGATTTTGGAGAATTTCTACAAATGGGAGTGACTATTATAAATCCTGATTGGATACATGACATTAAACAAAGTTATGTAGATGATACCATTTCACAAGAGAAATTTCATATCCTGGTTCTTCAACCAGATAAGATAGAGGATTGGAAACTAGTTAAAGGGGTTCTTTATTTCAAAAATAGGGCCTATGTTGGCAACAAGGGAGACCTTAGAGAGAAAATCATTCTGGTTCTACATGATTCACCACAGGGAGGTTATTCAGGTGTTCAAGCTACCTATCAAAGAATCAAATCTTATGTTTTTCTGGCAAAAAATGAAGACTATGATTCAACTGCATGTGCAACAATATGAAGTATGTAAGAAGATTAAGATTGAACATGTTGCTAAACCAGGGTTGTTATAACCCATTCCAATTCCAAACAATGCTTAGGAAGTCATCACAATGGACTTCATTGAAGGCTTCCACCTTCCACAAAATACAATTGTATTTTGGTAGTGGTTGATAAATTTACTAAGTATGCTCATTTCATGCCATTGTCTCACCCCTACACAGTGGTGGAAGTTTCTAGGGACTACCTCGACCAAGTTTACAAATAACATGGTCCTTATAAGGTCACTATTTCGGATAGAGATATGTCTTTTACTAGTCTCTTTTGGAAGGAATTACTGAAGCAACTGGAATAACTACATTCTTTAGCACTGCTTTGGGAATGACCCCATTCGAGGCACTATATGGCTACAAGACCCCTAATTTGGCTTAGTCAAGAGAATCCATAGTTGGGACAGTCCAAGATATTATGCAGCAACGAGATCATTTAAATACATTACTACGAGAACAATTACTTAAAGCTAGTAATCACATGAAACAGATAGTTGACAAGCATCGCACAGATATATAGTTTCAAGTGGGAGATGGGGCCTACCTAATGCTCTAGCCCTACAGACAAACATTCATTGCTTTACGAAAAAACTTAAAGCTTTCTGCTTGGTACTTTGGCCCCTACAAAATACAACAGAGAATCGATAATTTTGCGTACAAGTTAGAGTTGCCAACAAAGTCAAAATTTCGTTTTGTATTCCACATTAGTTTACTCAAGAAAAAGGTTGGAAAACAAGTTAGAGGTTTACCTGACCATGGTTTTGAATAAATTGATGATCAAATGACATAACCAGGCGATCACTCAGTTGCTTATTCAGTGGACGAACATGGGATCGGCCGATGCTACTTGGGAAGACTACACCGTGTTGAAGACACAATTCCCTAATTTCGATCCTTGTGAACAAGGATCATCTGGTAGAGGGCGTATTGTCACGATAGAAGAGGAGTTGGGGTTAGAACAGAAGGAATTGGGGGAGAATCAGAAGCAATTATGGATTGAGAAATGGAAGGAACTTGAAGCTATACGGGCTGGGGAGTATGGACGGGTCGGAGCATCTGGATGGGCTGAAGAGTATGAACGGGCCGGAGCAATTGGAGAAGAAACATTCACTTGGACCCGAGTAGAAATAACTCAAGAACATCTATCAGCAACTAATAAAGTCACCACGGGCATGTGAGACAATGGGCTCAAAGATGAATAGTCCACCTGGAAAGAATCTACATGCATCGGCAATCTAACCGTTAAATTTGTTAGAATTGCAGTACTTGATACAAATGTGAGGACACATGTGCATATACAAGTCGTACCTATTCCTATTAGGGATCATCTTTGAAGAATGAATTCAACATTTTCTTTATCTTAAATTCTTTCTTTCCTCAAATCTCTAAATCTTCTAAATACATTCAACTCTAAAACGTAACACCTAAAGGCCCCCTCCCGACCACTGTGAGTCGATGGTGACAAGGGGTAAACACCACCCTTTTCAACCCCAAAACAATGAGATCACCTCTTAAAATTGTTTCCTCAAACCCCAAAAGTAACTCGAGGAAAGACTAGAAAGTGAAGGGTTTACCTTCAATGATTTTACTGCAATTTAACTCTGATGGATGACGGTGACACTCCCAAATGAGAAATGTGAGATTTTTAAAAGGTTTCTCTATCTTTTTTTGGGGGAATATTCTCTTGCTGCTGGAAAAATCCACATTTGTGTTTTTCTCATATGTATATATATTCCCCTAAAAAATGCCTCATTTTTTTGCTTGCATGTGAGAGGAGGGGAAATAAACCACCTTTCTCTTTTCCTTTCCCCATTGATTTATTTGTGTTGTGTCATCTAAGGGCTCCAATCCCTTTACCAAAAGCTTTTAACATATCTGAGCGCGGGGGGTATATTTTTCTGCCATTGTCGTCGTAGAGGGGGGCCTTAGCAGTGCATATGAGCCTTTGTGGAGTGGACCAGTGCTTTGTCTTCTCCTGCTGGTGTAGAGAGCTTGCTGTGGTGGACGGCAACGTGGAGGCCTTGTTGGAGGATGGGAACCTTCTAGAACTCTTGACGGAAGCAATAGTTTGTACTATTAGGGTTTTAACCCTAATTTTGGGTCCAAACGATTTTGGATCGTAAGATTGAATCTGACGGATATGATAAAGCCTTCAACTCCTTTGCTCGACGGTACATGGTTAACAGGATAACTAGGGTTTATCAAAAAAGTGGGTTCATTGGCCTTTAGGTTTTTTGCCTTGTAATTTATAATGTTTGAAATGTAAAAACGAAATAAATATTAATATTCTTTTTATTATTTACAAGAATATATTAATATGTATTTAATTATCTAATAAATATATAATTATAATAATACTTAAACGGAACTTTTATATATATATATATAATTAAGTGTAATCATCATAATAATAAAATTATATAATTATAATAAAAAACTAATTGATAACCAAACATACAGATGCATGCATATATATAGTAAAAAAATAATACACCCTTAAATAAAACCCAAATAAATTTGAGATAGAATCAAGACGAAAATGAGTGTTTATAAGTATGATCTCCCCCATCCTCCCCTACGCCTGTGCTCTTCCCATTATCTCATTCACTTGTGCTCTTCTCATCATTGTCACGCTTTAATTAATTGTATTTAATAATAAATTGGGTTGAATTTAATAATAAATTTGGGATTACGGTTAGGGATTTAGGTATTAGGTTTAAGGATTAACGTTTAGAAATTTATGGATTTAGGGACTTAGGACGATGATTAGAGGGATGGTTGACAGTAAAGACTCGACGACGGGTGGATGGTCATTTAATAATGGTGAAGGTTGTCGATGATGATCGGTGACCGCTGATATAAGAGTTAGAATGAAAGATTTTAAGGTTTTTAGTTTTTTTTTGTGTGTAATCTTAGGGGTTATTTTGATATTTTTGAAACAATGATTTTTTTTAAAAAAAAATTATTTTTTTTGTAAATCAAAAAAATATGAGGACAACGTGTGGCAAAATTTAATTGTTGTTATGATCTAGACCCTTAAAAGTATTAACATAAAAAACGTTAGACACATATTTTAACAAAAAATTCTTTAAACACCAGAAGTCAACTTTATGTATAATTTAAACATTTATTTTTATCTCAAGCCGTAATTTTTTTTTATGGAAGAGCATAACCGAGAAAAAAGTTGCTCAACTATTCCTTAAAAAACCATGCCACCTAAGCCAAATCAACCAGAACTTCTTTAATGTGAAAATTGCACAATAGGTCATTCTCCTTTCATCCCAAGTTTAAAAATCTCTTTTTCACCTCTGATTAGACCAATTGTTCACTCGATTAAGTTCAAATTCGACCTAAATGACCCAAATACTACAATAAACTTATTCAACATGCCTCTGAATCGATGTTTGAATATTAACTCGAAAATTTGAATAGTTACATAATTCAAACTACAATATTTTTGAGCAAAAAACTAACAATCAAGTTCGATCAGGTAATATCTCAAACCGAACTAGAACTTATATTTTGATTTTCAGTCGAACTCGAACTGAGTATCAAACTCCAAATATTAAGTTGAGATCTAACTCGAACAATGCCCCTATTCCGACTCGACTTGATTACAACACTAAGCAGTACATAGCTCGCAACTAATATATGGATTGCATGGAGTAATCACTTCAAGTCGGTACGTCAATATAAAACATTTTCCATTATCTATACGGAAACAACAAGCATATGATCTTTCCATGGACCACACAATGCAATACATATATAAAGAAAAACTAGATACAATATGGGGATCAAGTTTGATGACACACACCGCACCAACTGAAGAACAAGTCTACATCACTTGCAGGCTCATCATACAACTGAAAGTGGCACCCGAACTACATTTTAGTCCAACCACAGACCTGGCACTGCATTTTCTGTCTGAACAAATGGATAGAATAAAAGACATGCAGAGTGTAGCAGATTCCCTGAGAGCAACACATCTTAAACATGGAACACAAGTAACCAGCCCCATCTACAGAACCCACAAGACCTCACATTTTGAGTTGCTATCTTGAAATTTCTTTGATTTCTGGCCGGCAACCCTCATAATATTTTCCAGACTGCTACCAAAATTCTGAAAGGATTCCATTTCCTTTATAATAAAAGCAAAACACGATACTCCCGATCTAAGAGACCTATCTTACTGAAATGTCCTCCTAAAATTCCGGGTAGTTGCTCGATATGATCGCATTAGAATTCCAACTCCAATGCCAAGTCCTACGCACATTTGCCCATCCTCATCAGCATACATGTCTTCAGAGTAGTAACTCTGCCCAAATTTCCCAGAAGAGTTGTTAATGTATGTTTATATTAATCTCTATATAGTATTGGTAGATTAGACCTATACTTAAAAAAATAAAGTAAATATTCTGGTGAGCTTAACGAGCAACGAATCAAGTCGAGCAACAATCCTTTTAACGAGCAGAGTCGAACAAAATTTTAATAAATTTATCGAACAACGAGTCAAGTCAAACAACAAAATATTTTAATGAACACGATTCCCAACTTGTAATCAACTAGCTCGATAAGCACCCTAAACACAACCTAGAATCCTAGCATTTCAATTTAACAAAATTATAAAAGCAAAAATGGCCTTTATATGCTAAGGCCATAATTAACATCATAAACCAACCATGCTTGAATCAGCAGTACCTGGATTATTGATTTTGATCAGATAAAATAAAAAACTAGAGGCATAAAGCAAATCAAATTCTACCGGCGATTTCCGGTGCCTAATATTATTATTATCCCCTTCGCCAATCTCTTCATCCTCAAGAATTGCATCCAACAACCACCTAAGCCTCGATTCTCCTATATTCTTAGAATTAACATGTATTGTCTTGGTCAAGATCACAGGCACGCCCGCACAACACCCGGCAATATAAACTTCAATTTCCGGCGCTGAAACCCCAATCTTCAGCTGAATATAGGCAGAATTCCCTGGCTCCATAGCCAAGGTCGTCATATAACAATCCATGCTCCACTCCCCTTCCATCCTTTCCAACGACCCTCACAACAAAACCTTTTCATCCTCGTGCACATCGAATTCAAACCCTCCAGTGAAGCGAAGGCTATCGTGCTTAAATAAGTGACCTCTGAGGTTTCTCGGTTGAGACGGTCACAGCGGAGGGTAAGGTGAGCTGAATCAGAGGCAGGGATACGAGAGCCGTTGATTTAGAGGGATACACCGATTTCCCGACGGATGTGACAGACTATGAGATGGTGGAGACGGCGTCGATCACGAAGGTTGAGATTCGAACATAAAAGAGACGGATTTCGAGCCATACTGCGGAATTGTTCAATAGATTGCAGGAATTCGGGGTTAGAATTGGCTAGTGATTATGGTGTTGGATTTGATTGTGCATAGCTTTTGGGAAATCAGAGAACCAATGAAAGAAACGGGAATTTTGTTGAGAAAAAATTCAGACTGTGAAACTAGAAAGGAGCCATTGTTTTCGCACTTGCTGGTTGTTTGTGATAGGAACATTAGCCCCGCTCTGGAATCTGGATTCTGGAAGGTTGGAGATGGATAACGGCACGTGAATGTCATGTGCTGTTCAGATTTTTTTTTTTTTTGATTCTTTATAATATCGAGGTAAGCTATCTATTTGGTCACACATTTAGCACTTAGGTTATTTTCCAGTTATTTAACTATTATTTTATTTGAAATTATATCTAAATTATATTTAATATTGTTTTAGTTATTTTTTTTAAAAATAATTAATGATGATACTAATATGACATTATAAGATAATGTCACATCAATATTAAAAAATATTAAAAAATTCATATCAATATCATCATTAATTTTTTAATGATGGATAATCAAAACAGAATAAAAACTAACGTTAGGAATAATTTAAAAATAATAATAGTTAAGTGATCAAAATGAAAATTAAGTAATAAGTCGATGACTAAATCAATAGTTTACCCTAATATATATTTTGCTTGCAAATTTACTATTAGGGGTCGTTTGGTTAAAAAAAAATATCATCATTATGAGAGGAATAATCTCCTCATAAATCAAGTACTCATGTTTGGTTTAAGAGTATTTTCTTTTGAGGGTAATGAAGTATTCCCTAGAGTAGTAATTTTTGAATCTTTTACCGTAAATGTCATTTCTTCCCTTTTCTTAGATATTAGACAATTTCATCCGTTTCAGATAATAATACTCCTAAAATAATATAGTTATATCATAATGATCCTTCTTTTTATATATAATAACACAAGAATAAATCATTTTATTTTTTAACAGTTTTAATTTTTTTAATGCTTATTATAAAATAATACGATGCATATAAAATAAAAATAAAAATTTAATTTTTCATAAAAGATTTTATATAATTCGATATGATATTCCATTGTACAACCCAAACATGTAGCATGAATAAAATAAAAAGTGTAACAATTAACACATATTTATACTGGTGTAAGAATGTAGATATCTCAATATATTAGTGTAAGAATGTTTCTATATTTTTAAAGAAATAAAAAATAATAAAAATATAGATTAATCTTTTTGTGTACACATTTTATTAAAAAAAATATAAACTAGAAATAATAGAAAATTATATTTTCTATGGACATTCATGTAAATATTTTGACTTTAATATTGAGAATTAAACTTATTAAGAAATAAAATATATATCAAGACAATTTGGTAAAACATACATTTCTCTTATCTTATATTTCTTCAACAAAATATTGTAATCATACATTCATTACAAACAAATCAAACAATGAAATACAACATTTCCAGTAGTATATTAAGTAATGTATCATTATAATAATCTTATTCCCAAAGGTAAAATCTTACATTTCGTGGACCAAACGACCCTTTAGAATAAACTATACAGATAGTCCTTTATATTTTTGATCTGATTAATTTTGGTCACCGGTTAAAAAAATTATTTTGGTCTCTTACGTTATCGATTTATTCGGTTATAATATCTCGACTGTTAACTCCTGTTAATTCATTAACACTGTTAATTCATTAACAGAAGTGTTACGTGACAATTAAAAAAATAATGTATTCTTCTTCTTCTTTCTCCCATTTCAATTTTGGTCGGTTCATGCTCCATTTGTTTGGCTGTAAATTTAGGTTCATTTAATAATAATGATTGTATGAATAGGCAAGTTGATCATTCAAAAATGAGTATACCAGAAATAGAAAACAACAAAACAAGTAGAAACCTTTCATTTTTTTAGCAACATGATTAAAACAAGAGTGATATTAAAGAGTATAAACCTTTGATTGTTCTTGAGAGAAAAATTCGAAACAGCAGCAGGCATAAGACCTAGGTTATCAAAGCATACTGATTGAATCTAAAACTAATTCCAACATCATAACACTTCTCACCCAAAAAGCATAAACAATGTCATGATTTTAAAAGAATATTTGTATCCTCTGACTTCGTAGAAACTTCAGCAAGATTATCAGCTATTGCAAAGCTTCATGAATGGGAAGCTGCTTCTACAAGTTAAAAACATTAAAACATCTGAGCATATAACGTATAAAAAAAATCTAGAACTGATAAAAATCTTTCGAAGATTAAAATATGAAGTTAGATAGATATACATTAAATAAAAACTGAATCCTTCCACTGGTTGCCATATAACAAGCCAAACTCATTTATTTTGCAATGTTGGCCAACGATACAAGAAGCAAGAAGTGCTGAGGAAACATAGGAGTGATCAGCAGTTCAACTCCAATGCTAAAAGTGAATAGCAGAGAGGTTGAAAACCTAACTCTCTTCAAAGGAGATAAGACAACAAATAAGAAAATAAATTTTTTAGTTTCTTAATGATCAGTCTCCCATACATTCGGTGCAGGTTATGGTGGATCCTCATGCCCCCAGCCCAAGTGACCCCAACCTCAGGTAATACTTGCACTGATGAGCTCTCTCTCTCTCTCTCTCTCTCTCTCTTATTTGTATATATATGTACGTAAAAGTAGAGCAGTGATAGTGAGGAAAGAAGGCAAACACAAGTACTTAAAATGTTGAGTTTTGGTACTTTGCATATATTTGGAAAACCTCAAGACAGTGCACTCCACATTCTAACCAAAGCCTTTGATAAGTTGTAGTTTTAGCTCTTCGATATTACAGTACTTTACTAACTTTTTTTTCTTATCAAAATCAAACTCTTCAGGTTGGTAACTGAAATTCCAGCCACAACTGGTGCAAGCTTTGCTTAGTACCTTCTTTGCAGCCTTTATTAATATTTTATTACATAATATACATAAATGTACATGTATATCTTTTACATTGGTTTAAGATTCCATTTCATTGGACCCTGTCAGTGGTATAAAAAGTTCCTAGCGACAGACTAATCTTCCTCAGACTTGCCTGCTTAGGTTTATGGAAGAAGAAGAAGATACATAGATTTTTTTTTTAATTTTCACGTAACACTTCTATTAATGGGTTAATGGAAGTGAATGGTTAAGAGACTAAAATCGAACAGACTAGTAACGTAAAAGGATCAAAATCACTTTTTTTTAACAAATAACTAAAATCGATAAGACTAAAAAGATAAAAGATCATTTGTATAGGTTACCCTAACTATTATTATGGTTGACTTTGTAATTTTAGCCCATCTCAAAGTTGGATGATTCATCTTTCAATTTATAATCATGGAACAAATTCAACCCAACCCACGAATCTAATTTTTTTTTTTATGCAAATAGAATCTAAAATTATAATGACAATTTACAATTATAAATGTAAATTAAACATATAATTAAGACATTTCTTATAATCATTGATATAAACTAGTCACTTAAGATCATATAATCATAATTGTGTAGCGAAGCACCCAATCATATAGTTTGATTCGCTTACCACTCCTTTACCATTTCGTAAAGCGTCTCGTTCGACAGAGACATTGAATTTATATGAAGTTTACTAGGTTCTTTTGCTGTTGGCCATCATTCTCAAGGGAATGTTGTTTTTCTTCGTATCTTTGGGTTTAATATTTTTGTTTTTGTATGAGTTTTTTTGTGATTATTGTTTCAATTTTTCTATTTATGTTTGAGTGTGTCGTAATTCTGATTCCTTTAATTACTTTTACTAATGAAATCCAATTGTCATTGTTACAAAAAGATTATACAAGGGTATACAAGGAAAATGTTAAAACTCATCCAAAAAACTTGAGCAAAATAAATATGACTACATCGACAAACAAACCACAACACGTGAGCAAGCTACTGAAAGACCATCGATAATCGCGAATCAAAGTCGAGTGTTGTGAGAACACCATCTCCGAATGTAAACCACATATCACAATTCATCTATAGGTCCAAAGTAGGAAATATCAACTGGATAAAAAATAAGCATCATTTTGATTAGTCGAGACGATATCAAATTCATCAAACAACCGATAAAAAGATTGAAATGTGCTATAAATATAAAGAAAAATATTCCAGAAAAAATTAAATATACAATACAAGAAATAAGAAAAATAATAATAAATATTGACAGCCGACTACCAGTATCAAAACTGATACTGTCGTCAGCCAACCATGACAGAGAAGAAGGCAAGCCGCGCAAAATTGCAATGCATGAAAATGTTTTATTTAGAGCAATTAGGTTGTGTATCCGTGTTATGCGCATATTAATTGTATTAATTGTTATTTTATTTATATGAGGTGATTATAATGTAATATTTGTTAGTTATATTTATAGTTAAATGTTATTATATTATTTTTAATGTATTTTTCTTGAATTTTATATTATTAAAAATCTTACAATGAATAATTCACATCTAATTCAAGAATAAAAATTACAAAAAAATAATATTTAATGATATATATAATATATTAGTTTCTACTAAATTTAATAACACTAATTCAACGAGTTTAATTAAGAATGAGAATTTGATATTTTAAATTAAAGTATACGAAATATTTTAAATTTGAGTATAAATAATAAAATGATGATATTCATTTTTTAAAATACATATGTTTACTTTTTTGAATGCATAAGAAAGATAAATATTCTAGACGAGTCTAAGCTAATGTCGTGCACTATGGGAGGGGAGCATTGGAGATTTCATGCGGTAGTGACTTGATTGCGTCAGGCGGTCTAGTGAATAACTGAAATTCCGTTAAAAGTTTTGGAAAAATAACAGCTTGATCGAATAAAATTAATGTTATTTATAATAAATGATGTCATTTGGTGAATAGGCTTATTATAATAAATCATGTCGCTTGGTGAATTTTAGTTTAAAGTTGTATCTATTCAATTATAGCTATTAACTTTTCAACAAAACTTTTAATTAAAATGATAAGTCCTTTCACCGAAAGGTCTTAACATTTAATCCATCTTTCTAATCTATATATAGGCAAGTTGAGACACAAATATGAGACACAATTCACAATGTTGAATTAGGAAAACACAATTCATGATGAGAAGAACCCATAGCTTGACGAACAGAGATTGAGCTAAAAAATGGCACT